GTGGTGCTGGTGACAGCAATGCCAAGGTCCAGCTCACACCCCCTCTCTGACCCTCCTCACCATCTGCCGTGGGACCCGAGATCGGGGCTGCTTCTCCTGCCCTCTCACTGCACCAGGGACATGCAGATCAGAACCTGACACCAAACAGAACTAAACAAGTGTCTCCCTGGCCAAGTGTCCCATCTTGCCCCAGCAGCGGGCAGCGGGCCGGGCTGGGACCCCGAGCCGGGCAGGGCAGCACTGCGGGCTGATCCAGCTCTGCACCGAGGGCACAGTGCATGGCACCCGGGCAGGCCAGGCTTAGCTGCTGCCCGAGGAGCACACCGAGCTGCACATGTGCAGGGTGGATGGCTCAGGCTCAGGCTCGGGATCGGGATCAGGCTCAGCCTCCTCGGTGCTCTCGGAGGCGGACACGGAGTCCCCCGGCTGCTCCTGGCTCCGCTTTAGCCTGTGGGACAGAGGAGAGGAGTTACAGAGGAGCCCCAAAACAGCCTGAACAGCTTAACCCACCCAGACTGGGGCCAGGAGCACCCCAGGCTCTGCCTCCCCTCCTCCATGGAGCCTCCTCGTGCTCTGCTCATGGACCAAAGARCCCCAAAGGGGGGAAGCACAGGCTACAATCTGCTTGCTTATTCCCTGCTCATTCCCACCAGGGGCTTCACCACACAGAATAGATCCATAGGATCACTAAGGCTGGGAAAAACCTCCACAATCATGGAGTCCAACCTTCCTCACCTTCATTCCCCAAAAAATCATCTGCTAAAAGCAGGCGGGGTGGGGAGTGCCACAGGGGAGCTCAGGCAGTGTCACACACACGTTAAATCCCAAAGTCCCTCTACAGTTCATGTTATCTAATGGCAGTGATTAGCAATCCCTGAGCTTGTTTCCCTTTGTGCCCAGACCCATTTCTCACACACAGGCAGCCCCTGACCTCCTGTGTTGACAGCAGTCCCTGGGGCTGTCAGCAGCAAGGTGCTCCTGGCTGTCAGGAACTGCACCCATTCCTAAGGGACATCAGAAAAAGAAAAAACCAGCCCAGACACTCACCTCTCTCTGTTGAAGATGACAAAGTCCTGCTGGATAGCTTCAAGGCATTCCTGTAGATAGTCATTTTCCTATGGAAGTTAAACAAATCATGCATAAACAGCCCCATTTGTGTCTCAGTGCTGCCGGCAGCCCCCAGCACTCCCAGATGTGTGCAGGAGCCTCCAGATGTGGGCAGGAACCTCCAGATGTGTGCAGGAGCCCCCAGATGTGTGCAGGAGCCCCACTCCCCTGAACATCAGCCCAACATCTGGGAGCAGCAGGGCTGGCTGCCATGTGCTTTCAGCAGGGGCTTGTGCCATCCACGGCAGCAGTTTCCCATAAAACACACATCCCACTGCTCCCAACATAAACAGAACGTGTTTATCCATGGATGGGGTATTTCGGGAGTGCTGACAGCCCAAGGGAAGCACAGCCACACAGCCCACACGTGTGAGTGCCTGTGAGCACACCCAGGGAGCTGCTGTGTGTGCCCAGGGAGGCACGGCCCGGGGGGACAGGGCTGAGCACCCACCCAAACAAACTGAATACCCCCTGAACACCCACCCAAACCCGCTGAACACCCACTGAACACCCACTGAACACCCCCCAAACTCACTGAACACCCACTGAACACCCACTGAACACCCACTGAACACCCAC